AAGCTATTAACAATTTCATCTAACTTAGATCCACAATCAACACCCTTGGTATTACCAGTCAAAAAAAATCAAAACAAGAAGCACTTGGGAAATCTGTTGTCAAAGACCTTTCCAAGGTGCTGAGTAGTGATGTTAATTTGAAGACTAAGGTGCACCTGATCCAAGTCATAGCCTTTTCAATTACTTCCTATGTATCTGAGAGTTGGACAATGACTAAGGATGACAGAAGAATCAGTATCTTTTTTTTTAAAATTTCATTCTTTTTTGTGTATGTACCGTCAGATTGGATCTGACTGGTACAGGAGGAGATTGCCCCTTCTTCTTCAGCAGAGCATCTAGTGGATTCAAACTGTGTACCTCTGGGATTGCAGTGCAGCGGCCACCAGAGCTCCCAAGAATCATTATCTTTGAGTTGTGGTGTGGGAGACGAGTACTGAATTATCTCATGGCCTGCCAGAATAAACAAATATGGCTTAGGAAAAACTTAGCGTCCTCCTTGGAGGCAAAAATGATGAAACTTCATCTCACATATTATGAGCATTCTGTTAGGACAAGCCAGTCCTTGGAAAAAGACAACATGCTTGGAAAGGCGAAGAGTCAATGAAATAGAGGAAGACACTCAATGAGATGGATTGATACAGTGACTGTAGCAATAGGCTCAAATATATTACGGAAAGTCAGGATAGTATAGGATAAGTTCAGATCGGTTGTTCATAAGGTCTCTATGAGTTGCAGTCAATTTGATGGCACCTAACAACATGAAGTGCCTAAGAGCCTTGGAGGGTGCAATGGTTAAAGCAGTCAGTCACTAACCAAGTTGGTGGTTTAAAAAATACTCCTTGGATTAAAGATTTGGCAGTTTACTCCTCTAAAGAGTAAAAACCCTGGAACCCTATGGAACAGTTCTACTGTCTTATATGGTTGCTAGGAATTGGAATTGGCTCAGAGCAATGAGTTTTTAAAATAAAATATCTAGCAAAACAAGCACTCACTAAAATGATAGAACAGGAAATAAAGACAATTTTATAGACAGGAGATTTCCTCTCAAGTCTATCTATCCCATTTTCCACATCACTTTCTTATTTCCTAGAAAGGATATGAAAGAAGCTGAGGTCATAAAATTGTTAACTCTTCAAAAGTCAGCATGATTTTCTGGCTTCTGTGGATCTAATTCTAATTTCTAGAATCTTACAATATAGGAAAACTACATAAAAAGAAAAAAAACATCTTACTCTACTTCTATAAATGACTGTTATTTCTTAGACACATTCTTTTCAGTATATATTGTACACACTGATACACTTGGTTTGGAAGTCATCTTCCTGAAGAAGACTACTATCATCAGTTCTCAAGCTATAAATGAGAACTACTCTTATATCTCTAAGAATTTCTAAGTTCTTTTTCCCATCTTCTAAGATGGCAGGTGAAAAGCTGGACACCAAGGAGAAGCCTGAGGTCATGCCTGAAGCCAAGAAGGCAGATGCCAGTGGCAAAGTTAAAAGGCCAAAGGCAAGGGCAAAATGCCCTAGAAGGGGAAAGGGAAGACCCACTGCAATCCTGTCCTAATCTGGGGAATTGGCAGGTATTCCCACTCAGTCATGTATTCCACGAGCCCATGTACAAGAGAAAGCAGTCAGCCACTAAGTCCAGGGGTGAAAAGAAAAAGGAAGTTCTTGCTACTGTCACAAAACCATTTAGGGGTGCTAAGAATGGTGGTAACTGAGTGGTGACATTTGGCAGAATGCTTAGGTATTACCCTATTAAAAACAGACATCCTTTGGAAACTGTTGGGCCAGGGCAAGAAGCCCTCACTCAGCACTTGAGGAAGCTTCACTACCACATCACACCCAGGATGTTCTGATCATCCTCACCAGGCGCCACAGAGGCATGTGTGTGGTTTTCCTGAAGCGGCTGGATAGTGGCTTGCGCCTAGTGACCAGGCCTCTGCCTCGGTAAAAAACACACTAGAAATTTATCACTGCCACATCCACTGGTGTGAAAATCCCAAAACATATATTACTGATGCTTACTTCAAGAAGCAGCTGTGGAAGCCCTGGTGTCAACAAGGAGGGCGAGATCTCCAAACACAGGGAAGGAGAAATATCACAGAGCAATGCAATGTTGATCAGAAAGTTGTGGATGCCCACATTTTGCCAAAAAACAGAGCCACGCCTCAGCTCAAAAGCTACCTGCATTCTTTATTCTCCCTTACCAACAAAGTTTATCCCCACAAATTGGTGTTCTAGATTTCTTGCAAAAGACCTAATTAAAGTAAAAAAAAAAAGTAAGCTGGAAGAGGTGCATAAGAAAAGACTTGAAACCTTTCAATGATTGAAAAGCTGCAGTTCAATAACCAAGAGTGATTGTAATGGAAAAGTGGTTGCAAATGGGGGTTGGTACAATCATTTCAATAAGGTCAAACTTACAAAATTGTTTTTGTGATGCAACAACACTGCCCCTCCTTATGGATGGCACTTCACTGAGTCAACTATCCTCTCACTCTTGGTCTTCAAACAGTAGTTATTCCCCTTCTTGGTACTGTGAGGATGCACCCAAATTGTAAAAATTCAGGTCTGTTCCTACTTCATTTCATACATAGTGACAGATTAGGTAAAAAATATTTTGAAGTCTCGTTTAGAGTACAAGTAAGAGTTGTCTTTAAGGCCAATGTTTATAACTGAGAGGTACTATCTGTGTTATATTCTGGGTCAATTTTTATATTCTAAAATAATTCAAAAAGTGGGCAGCACTTCATAGAACAACATATATCTGGGAAAATGTAAGCAGTATTTCCCAAGTCTCTATAATATTTTGTTAAGATTTGGAGTTTATTGCTAAGACAAGAATTCTTTTTATTAATCCAGTATATAATGACTAAAAATCAGCTACCACATGCAAACCCACACCCATGTCTATCGCAGCTTTGTTCACAATAGCAAGGAGCTGGAAACAACTCAAGTGCCCATCAACAAATGAATGGATAGACAAACTGTGGTATACTCACACAATGGAATACTACGCTACATTGACAAACAAGGAACTCATGCAATATTATTCAAAATGGGTGACCCTGGAAAGTATTATGCTGAGTGAAATATCTGTCACAAAAGGACAAATACTGCATAGTGCCACTGTTGTAGAATGGGACTGACATCAGGGTTGGGGTAAGACTGAAGAAAAACTGGATAAACAGTGTATTCTGCATTGAAACAGATGAGGGAGAGAACAGCTTAAAAGCAATATATGATAGGGTATTATGGTTATCACAAGAGTCCAGAATTAAGGATACATAGTGGAGTGTACTCAGG